GAATAAGTTTTAACAAACTCAGCTTTTGAAAAGACCTAAAAACCTGGAAGTTTCAGTTCTGGTCTTCAAAGACGACTCTCGTCTTAAGTACCTGTCACTTGCATACCCCATCTTCAAAAAACAAACAAACAAACAAACAAACAAACAAAAACACACACACACACACCACACATACCCCCACACAAGAACACCCACACCCACCCACATACCTAAATGGAAATCTAAGTTTAAATATGTATTATTCTGAATTTACCTTTTGAAATATTTATTCCACATACAAACTTGCATATGAGTTAGTGAAACAACCAAAAAGAGGTGCTCAGTGCATTTGTGCTTATATGTATTTATTATATATATATGTAAATATAAAGTAGTTCCAACAGTGGGGCAATGACTGTGTCTATGACCCATGTATATTGAAAGGGCTGCTCACTGCCCAAACCCTTGTGATTTAAAAGCAGTAGCCAACGAAATAGCCATGATTCACCATGGAGGTATCTGTGTGGGCATGGGTTTATAGAAATAATAGACAATATTTTAGTTAAAAAGGACTGGTAAAGTAGATATAAAGCCCAGATAAAACCTAAAATCAAAACAGAGTTAATTCCATTAAGAGTCAAATTTTTAAGTGCAGCTGGTGCACTTAACTGAATGTGGTTTCTCAAACCACCACATTTCTCAAACCACATTCAGTTATGTTAAATCAGGCATTTCAAGGACAAACTCAAAATAAGGCTGATTGCAGGCAGTGCTAAAGGCTTTGTTAGCATGTAAGTTTGAAAAGTAAGCGGCCTCTCTGCCTTCAAATCACTGAGGGAGAATTACTGGTGCAACTGGAATTGTCATTTATGTAGAGACAAAAACTCACCAGCTTAAGACCTATGCACACTAGCACCTCACTGTTGTGCAGAAGTTGGTTTTTTTCAGCGCTTAAGACCATCAGTGGACTTCAAAATGCCAAAAAGTCACTTTCTCAAACAAACTGCTAACCACAGTATTTGTGCTGAGACTTCCAGGACTCAAAGCAGACCAACAGGGTTGCAACATGCCCTGTCTTAAAGCGCTTTTCACCACCCAGTTGTTAGAAGAAAGCCACAAGACTAGCCATCCTCCTGCCCAGCTGCAGGGTACAGTACAGCTGTAACAGAGGTAACTTCTAAAATATAGAAAGAGATTCCTTATCCACTTCAATTCTGTCTTACCTTTCAGCAATTCAGCTCAGGACTTGCAAATTTTAAATAGAGGAACCAGGAAGGCATTTGGAAAGGCAAAGGTAGGATATCTACCAGATGGTTTGGCAGATGATGCAGCATGGGTATGTATAAACCTAGCAACCCTCTAGGTTTTATAACAAGATGAGCTATCCATCTATTCTAGCACCTCTTGCAATAGTGCTTCCTTCCATGTGGAAGGCTCACATGGAACTGATCATTTTGTGTTCGGATAAAGGGGGAAGCAAAAGAAAACAAACATAAGACTGCAGAATACCAAGGTTGCAGTGTGCAACCACTAAAAAGGTTCCATAGCATTTTTCCATTTCAAATAGGTTAACTAAGATTCCTTTTTTGGTGATTAAGTAATACAGCTGAAACAGCTCAAAATAATTGCCATTAGAAACAATAAATACTAGTATTTTTTTTTTCTTTTCTTTCTAAAGCACAGAGAAAGCTGCAATAGTTTCACCCTCTAGAAAGACATTTTCCCCCTCTCTTTTTGTATTAAAAACACTTAAATACATCAATCAATTGTTAAGGGTCTGAAACACTAAAATATAATAAACATATTTTGGACTTTAGGCTCTGAACACATTAAAAACAAACAAACAAGTGATCAATTTGTCATTAGATGTGAAGTACCTCTATTTGTAGGTTTTGTTTTCTTTATTAAAAAAAAAAAAGGGGCAAAACAGTTGCATTTGTTTGGGGTATTACTTGTAATCTGCACTGCTATCTTAAAGTTTGCAAAACCATCTTTTACCTTCAGTAGTTGAAATAATCCACTGTGCCTCAAAAGCAGTGACGTTTTAATATGGTACCAGATGTGGCTTTACAAACATGTACTAAGAAACAACACAGGAAGCTGCAGATATTCTCAAATACTATAAAGTGCAACCTCAGTGTCTCTGCCATTTAATTATTTTTTACTGATGTAAAGTACATTGTATAAGCTGAAGTGAAAGGCACTCAAGGAGCAACGCCAGCTTACGCACCTTGGTCGAGCCGGTTGATCAGCGTTCGGCAGGCGGCTTCCGTCTCCGGACTGGGATTGTCCAGCACCTGCCGGCACCACTTTAAAGGGGAGCCCGTTTTCTGCTCTCCGGACGATTTTCTTGGAGACACGTACAGCCTTAAAGCAAACATGGAAAGGAGACAGTGTAAAAGCTCATTATCCCAAAGCAGACATCCATGTAAGTAGGATTTCCTAAGCAAACCTAATACTAAATTATTTTTATTATTATTATTTAACTCTTTAATATCACATAAGCCCAGGTGCTAATTACACTGTCATCACTACCAACAGTTAAAACATATCACCTGAACGCACTTCCTTTGAGGAGCTGGTATGCAGAATATGTTTTCAGAAAGCAGTCAATAGTGTGGAGATGATTTTAATTCTGTATCAAACTGATTTTTTTTAAAAAAAGTATTTTAACAGTATTTCTTTCATTACAGAAAATGCACATACACAGTTCTGAATTTCCCACCTATAACTATATTTCATAGTTAACTATTTCTCTCTAGAAAGGTTAAAGAGAATAAAACCACACGCAAAAAGCAATGCAAAAAATTTTACTGACACATCCAACATTCACAATTTCCAAGTCATAAGAAACCTACCAATAAATATATACTTTAAAACATATATAAATTGAAATAAATACATATTTTCAAATCTAGGCTTGACAAATTTTAGAAATATTTAAAAGGAAAAAACAAATCAGCAGTGTATACATATAGAAGTCAATACTGATCTTAATTCTTGAATGTCATTGAGTGAAAAAAAATCTCACACAGTGGATTTCCAACTGCACAGCCTTAAGTTGCATATGTAAGCCTGCTACTTTGTAGTCATGCAGGCTGCAAAAGGATCATCAACACTGTTCCCTTGAACTCATTCAAAGGAATATGAGAAGGATTCGTCCTCGAGCCGACTTTCATACCTGTGACATGACTTGAAGAGCTGCAGCCATGCAGTTTATCAAAGGGTCTGAGAAAACTATAAACAAACATGGGGGGCGAGGAGGGAAGCAACACAGAGGAAAAGTTTTGAAAACAAATTTTTGACCTTGTTGATAAGGCCATAAGATTCTCCAATTTCTGTGCCCAAAATTCTCAGTGCAAAATCCAGCATTTAAGCATGGAAAATGATCATGAGGATGGTTTTAAAGATTTCAAGGAGTCTGCTTGCACTGCAATTCCTTCCTCCTCCCTCTTCTGTCTTCCAGGAAAAGAAACAGCTAATGGTAATAAATTGTTATACTATACAGCAAGACTCAAATCTTTTCTCCCCCAATTACTTGGCCTCATTCAAATTTCTTACCTTTAATTCATAAATAATCCCTACCTCCAAGAAAACTAACACATATCATTTTTTCAGAATTATACCATAGATTTCTTAAAATAAACAAAACCCCCTCATTTTTAAAATATTTAGGATCATACTATAAAACACTCAGCTTACAGGTATCCTAGCCACAAAAGCCTGAATGTTTGTCCAAGATAAAACATATAGACTGCTACAGTATGTAAAACACTGCCCTTGCATCAAAGTGTTTGTCTAACCTTTTATCCCATCTCCAGTCAAGAGCAGATAGACAGGGATAAGAAATATAAATACATAAATAAATAAAAAACACCTCTTTCAATACATCCAGAATGGCATCCCACAATTTCACAATTTGGGGCTAGGAGATTTGAATATTGCTTTACGCAACGGCTCAGCAGGTATTTCCCCCCACCAGTGAATCCATCCAGTTCAAATCTGTATCTACTTTTATAACCCACAGCACCCAACTGCAATGACATGTTGCCACCGAAGGCATTGACATGTTGTATGAAGAACCTCTATCCTCTCGCTTAGAAAGAGTCACTGCTATTTATGGTTGATATTTCCCAGTTCCTGGGGAAGGAATAGGGATGGAAAACAATTGTTCTCTTACCCTTTGACGTGCCACTCCTGCCTTTACATGAATTCTGTTGCATCCCAAACCCTGGCCAGACACCTTTTCTTATTCAGAGTGCAGTAACAGAGTCATTTGTCAACAGAAGCTTTTTCATAACAAACTCTACACAGTCACAATAAAATACTCCCAAAACCACTTTGATATTGACAGAAGTGATGAGAAATATGCACACAAATACTTTTGAAAGCACAACATTGTCTATTGCAATGCAATAGAACAGGAAAAGCAAAAATAGGGAGAGAGTGCTCTCTCTCTGGATTTATTTTATAGTTCAGACAAAAAAATAGAAAATAAAAAGCAGCAATATAATAATCAATGAAAAAGGAGGCCAATTTCCTTAGGGCAACTCGTGCTGTTTTTCACATATCTTATGTTAAGGAAGAAAAACCTTGCTCTGCTTAGGGAAGCTCTGGTTATAGCCAGCCCCTTCCCAGTGGTTGCTCATATTCATGCTTCTACCTGGCACTGTATCAGCTGTGAAAGCTGCTGCTCAGGTGACTGCTACAAGCCCATTTCCTCGAGGCACAGGCCAACCTGCTTATGTAGGAGTTGTCTGCACTGTCAGAAAACTCATATTTTTCAGCTAGCCAAGACTAACGTCAAAAGATGTCCCTTATAACTCCACTAAACACAACTAAGTATGGCTCAATTTTTTGAGAGCGTTTCCAGTCACTTTATAAAAAGAGATGCTTTTAGAGGCACTCTGATTTCACATCAGGCTTACTATTTCTCTTGCAGAAAGAGTTTAACATACTTACCAAGCTAACGTCTTAAAACACACTAGCACAACTTATTCTTTCGGAGCCCTACAAACCACCATCTTAGAAATTAAAAATACTAGCCCCACAGATAGACATAAACATTTTCCAGACACAATAGCATGGATTAAGTCACTTTTTACTAGTTTCCCCCCCACGCACCCACCCAATTTTGCCCTTCTCCACCCACCTAAGCACAACTGAGGCAGCAGAAAGGTCAACACAGTATCATGTTTCCAGCTTAACCAAAACAAGCCATCCTCATCCCACAGAGGCTTATACGATAAGGTAAATTCACTTGGCTCATTTTTTTTTAAAAAAAAAAAAAAAAAATCTTGGTAGCTTTGTGCTTTAAATAGATTTGTCAGCATAGCTTAATTCAAAAAGCATAGGAGAAAATATGCACAGACATATCCTTAAACATGCGTAAAAATTGAAGTTTATGCATAAGCATAAGTATTTCTTGGTTTAACAAATAGCTGATAGCTGAGTAGGTTTTATCTTGTATTTTGTTCCTCCAAGCCTTCAGTTGGGTGTGAAGGAAGCTTTATTTATGTATTTATTTTTTATTTATGTGGCAAAAGGTTACGCTTTACATATATTTGTGTCAAAATTCCTATGATTATTAAGAAGTTCTTTAGAAAGTTACAAGGCCTAATGCAAAATTCAGAGAGTAAATGTTTGGGTGCATATTCTCAACCTAATATATTGGGTATTTCCCATGAACTCATTAAATAGGATTGAGGCTTTTTTAGTTTCTGTTAGGTAACTACAAAAAGCATACTAAAACATTACATTTCTGCTTACTATTATTTGTGTTCCTTTTCCCCATATAAAGCATTTTGAGAAAGGCACTCCTGGTAAGAGGCAAGTAGTGGTAGCTGTGCAGTAAGTGCAAAATGGGATTATTCCTTCATCAAGAATGTAGGCTACTCTACTCAAAAATAAATTTATGGGTTTTTTTGCTTGTTTGTTTTGGTGGTTTATTCCAACATTCATGTATATTTTAAAGCCAGAACCATCCTCTAGAGACAGTATTTTTCTTTTGGGCATCAGTGTTTAATTTTTAAAGTACAGCATGGCCACAGAGTCACCAAGGCAGACCTTGTATTTGACATACTCTTCCATGAGGAACTTACTCTAAGAGGAGTAGTTACATACTTGCCAAAAGAATCTTAAAAAGACTCTGCACATGATTTTGCTTTTTTTTTTCCCCCCCCCTCAAAAAAAAAAAAAAGAATATATATAAAAGCTAATTTGAAGAGTCATGTTAATGTGTTGGCCTTTTTGCCAAAGGAATCTAGACTTCTTTCCACAAAGATGTTCCTTGAGCAGTAACAGTAGAAATAGGAGTAGAAACTTCCATTAAATCAATGTGAACACCTGTAGTTATTTAAGGCAAGGGGAAGAGAAGGGATGGAGGAGGAGAAGTATTCATTCCACCAACATAAGTTAAAGGAGACGCAATAACACAATAAGAAGGACAAAAGTTTAACAGTCTCTTCAATTTTTGCCCTATCTGCCTAAATTTCTTCCAACGCGAAATTCCTAAAACCACTTTATATTGCAGAGAGGGCTGGAATTTAACACATTTCATCACAATTCCAAGCCTAATTCTCTCTCTCAAGTATTAGCAGGAAACATAATGACAGATGACAAAACGCCCAGCAAATCACACAGGTGCGTGGAACAAAACAACTAATGCAAATCAGCACACAATGAATAAAGGCCTCATCTCACAGAGCAGCACAGCTGAATTCTCCTGAGCTCCCCGCATGCAGGAATGACAAACACTAAGGAAGACAAACAAGATACACTTGCTGTGGAGTTATCTAGACTGTTCCCTTCTATTAAATAACAGTTTTAACTCCTAAGCTGCTTGGAGAAGAGTGCTTTGAAGTGTAACATAGCAGAGCTGACTACATGAGGGCGAAAACTGGTAACATCTAAATTAAGACATTCTCATCGAGTTTGACAGCACCGAGAGGCAACTTTCACGTGGGCCAATTGTGTCACGCACATTTACAAATGTGAAAAGCTATTTGAGAAAGTAACAGGAAAATAAGTCAAGGCACAGACACCAAAGAAGTACAGAATTCGGTGCCACATGGGATGTAGTAATTCAGACTTCAGGTGAGTTCTGTCAATGAAATGCTATATTCAAAGACACACCACACACTCGAGAAAAAAAAAAAAAAAAAGCGAACTAAATGCTGAAGCAAAGGGAAGAAGCATCATCACTGCAGGCAGGAAAGAAATGAAGACTGTAGCTGCATCTGCAGAGAATAACAACAAATCCGCTGATCCACTCGCTCTGTGCTTCAACTCTGGCCCTCCTTAAAGGAAAGAATTTTTGCTATTGCTACTTCAGCTAAAGTAACAAAAATCCTTACAGTAGATTTAACAGGGATTTCAACCCTACCAAGACACACAAGCATCAGCACAGTAGTACAGTAGAATTTGTCTTAGAGTTTGGAAGCTTTTTTGAAAATAGAAAAGTGATATAAAAACATAGAGAGAACATTAAGATTGGGGGAAAATAAACAAATTAAACTCCCACACTCCCAAATGAACATACCCACCTTATTAAATTTGACCATAAATCTACATAGCACTAGATTTTGAAGTTTTGTTAAAAAAAAAAAAAAAAGTCAAGAACACACACATAGAATCCCTGATTTTCTGGCTATTGTCAGATGTATTCTGATGATGAGGATTTAGTAATTTGGCAACCAGCTGAGGCAGATATTACTGATGTTATGTAGATTTTCAAATTTGCCTGAGGAGCTGCAGGACAAGAAGTCATCATAGAAATGACTTCTTATTTTACCAGGTTTATTTAACAAGAGGAAAAATAAAACATATTGAAGTAACATAAAATGACCATAATTAATTTTTGTAGTAGTACTGGCACTTGTGCTCACAACCTTTTGTAATACCATCTTTATTTTATATTTTGGGGGCATCTATCATCCCCTTTTTTTTTTTTTTTTTTTTTTTTCTTTTTTTCCTCTATCTGTTTTAACCCATTGCCCCAGAGCAACTAAATTTGCCAAAGGTGACAGATCTCAAAGCAAAAAGATCCTACAGGGTCTAATGAAAGAGACACTTGGCAAAGGAGAGCAACTTTGCTAGCAGCCAGTTCAAGGAAAGGTTAATAAACAGCTTCTGAGCACAGAGTCTCTCCTGATCACATTTGACAGGATCCCCTGCCCCTGTAAAACCCGAGCTGTGCCTGGTTTTGTCACCAGGACAGCACAGTCCATAGAACCTTTCTTATGTCACAGACCACAGAAGCATGGACACAAAGTAGTTGTTGCAAAGACAGAGGAATAACACAGTCTAGCTTCCAAAGTCAATTCATTAAATGGGAAATCTGATCAAAATACTATTCAAGTATGCTAAACAGTTTAAGTGATCAAATTTGACTCAGTATTCCACAGAAAGCCTGCTAAGAAGAGAAGTAAGACTATCAGAGGAAGTTAAACATCAAAGTCGTCCCTTGTACCATCTGTAGTCAGGAAAAAATAAAGCTTTCCTGGAATGTGAATGAACTTTGAGTGCCACCAGTACCACCACCCCCAAAGACCTATTAGAAGAAACTCAGTTTTGAAGAACACTTTTAAATTTACGCGTTTTTTCCAATAGGAATTAATACCAAAATAACATAGATAAAATCTCCCCTCATTTTGTCATCTGAAAATGATGAAAACTTTTTTTTTTTAAATAAAAACTTTAATTCATACCAAAACTAGTATTACTACATTACTGAGCTCCACATTCCATTAACAAAAACTCTTTGCTGGTAAGAGCTAATGAAGTTTTAGACTTTAAGACTTCCTTTATATTGAGCAACTTGTAGCAGGACTATATCTTCAGTAAACCATCACCTAACTCCCATCTGCATAAATGTGGAACAGTTTGAAGAGCCCTGAAGCTGTCAAGTCTCAAAACGAGGAATGATGTGCAAAATCCCAAATCACAGCTATTGCATGAGATCAAATTAGCTTCAAATTTTAACAAGTTTTGAAAGTGCAAGGGAAATTAATTATAAGTTAAATTAATTTATAAAACAAGTTCTAAGCAAGGCTGCTGGTGAGCTACAGAGTCTTACAAGGTAAAGTCTGTTATGGATTACATCACTGACCCGTTTCAGATGATGTCCCTGAACAAAAGGGCAGCTTAAATTATAGAAACAGGCCTCAGGAAACAGAACTGGATTTTCCTCTTAAGTAACAGCAAAAGACAGAAATTCAAGATGGGAGAGAGCAAAAAGGTGATTAAAAAAATTCACTTTGTGAAGATTCTTATTTATGTACAATATGTGGAGTTCATGCACAAAACTTTAAAACTCAATTTTTCCTTCTGTGTGCATTATAAACTATCAGGAAAGGTACATTTTCTGTGCTTACTACAGTAGCTTCAGGAAGTAAGTACAGTAGGAGGAGCCTTACAGTTAAACTGATTGAGAGCAAAAAGCCTTTCTGTGTTGATTTTATGGCACAGTGATCTTCAAAGTAAGAAGAGTCAGTAACAAGAAATTGCATTCTTGCTGTTAAGATGAAAGCGCTGTGCTGCAACCACTTTAAGATTATTGCAATAATTACAGTTGTGGATTCCTGTGTTTGAATGTATCAGCAATCACAGGCTCTACATTTTACTAAAGTTTTGAAATACCTACCAGCTATCTTCTTCTTCATTGCAATTTTCCAGTTCTAACACTTTCACTTCATCCAGAGCTGTGTTATTCAAAAAGTTTTCAAGATCTCCACATTTACCATTTGGATTTTGTTTGTTTACTTTAACCGAGGAGTCCAGACCTGCAATGACCAGATTTCCCGCCAACTCTGTGCTATTACTTGTATCCGTATGTAAAGAACATCTAGAATTATCATCAGTCTTCATTTCTGCTTTATATGTATTAGAAGAGAGTTCCTCAATAGCACTGTTACGACTATACTTGAGTTGAGCATCCATGTCCTTTTTTAAGCAATTGTTCTCTCCCTCCTCCTTTCTTATTTTGCTTAGTTTGTTCTGCAGATCTGCCATTATTTGCAATTCTTGCCTCTCCGCCATAGTATTGATGCTGTTATTAATTTCCATCCCATTAAGGCCAGAGTCATGGTTATCCACGGCAGCGCGGATCTCGCTTGGCACACTGGTCCCAAGCACACTCCTGCGGCTCCTGGTCCTCAAGTGCTGATTCTGGATCTCAAGCCTCCTCACAAGCTCCTGCAGCTTCCTCACCTCCTCCAGTTCTGGGCCAGCCTCATCAGCCGGCGCTTCTGTGTCGGGGCCCATGGCAGAATTTGCTGTCGTGTCTTGTCCTAAGCCGGGCTCCAGGGCATGGTCCTGCTGTATGACTGGGGCGCTTCCAGGAACTACCATCATCCAAAACGCACAGTTTTACTGCAAGAAAAGAGAAATATGTAAGTATATATAAAATATATACATATACACTTCCTAAAGATGCACTATTTTAAACAAATTGGACTTGAAATATCAACTAAAAAAGACCTGACTTTTATAAGCATAAACCAAATAAACTAGAATATACAGTGACTGAAGTTAATCAAAACCAACTGAAAAAAGACAAAAAAAAATATAAACCCTTATAAAAATATTTATATGAAACTTTAATGACTTGGATGTGAAACTATTATGCCAGAAATTTAACTGAATAAAAGGAAGCTGATTTAACCCTGCACGATAGTTTAGCTTCCATCCGTAAACATGTGAAACACATGAGAAAGCTCTGATTGAGCATAGTCAGGAACCATAATTAGCAAGCGGTGACGTCAGACAACGACAGCGTTAAGAAAGTGGTAAAAAACACCCTTTGTTCGTTAGTAGGTTTATCCTGGAGGAGCACAAAAAGACCTTGAAAGCATTTCTACATCAACTTCTACCAAAGTCTGTTTAAATGACAGTAAAATGCCCAAGAATAGGAACTTCTGTTACTATGATATATTAAAATAAGCAAAACTAGTGTTTTTATTTTTTATAACAATTGGGGAAAAAAATTGAGACAAGCTCTCCAACACAAACACCGGAAGAGGATAAATACAAAGAACCAAACCACACCATGGATTGCAGATTCCAGTAATGAAGCCCTCTCCCATCCTCTGGTTTCTTTATCTTGTGGTTGAGTTGACCAGAGAAGGGCACATAGAGAACCACCAAGCAGCTTGAAACCGCCTATGCATTTGGATACCACAAAGTAATACTAGTGCATAAGTGCACGTTCCTTATCGCTACCTTAACTACCTATTTCCTGGACACCACTAAGTCTTCCCTCCTCTTCAAAGCCTCTCCGCCAGCGGAAGAGGAAGCCACAGGAGCGACCGGTGGCACCAAGGGAGCAAGGTGCAGGCCTCCTCCTCGGCTCCTTCCACCGCTTCGCTGCTCCGACCCAACGCGTTGCCTGGGACACCCTCCTGTGCGGGTTTATCCCCGTCACCCATGGGGGCAACGGAGCCAAACACACGCGCGGAGGCCTACGAGCACAAGTGACTTTGGGGTGCTTTGAGTGGCTTTGGTGGCTCCTTTGGTGGCCTAAGGTGGATCCAACGAAGCTGTGGCGATTTGGGGAAAGAAACTGAGGTTGTAAATGCCACTTCAGGGAGCAGAACACAGGCATCGTGCCCACAGGCCTCAAATGGCTCTTGCTCAGGAGGCTCCAAGGAGGCTCCACCGGGGTCACTCCTGCCCGAGCTCCATACAAAGGCTGGAGGGGGGAGCCGTGGGCTCTGCTGCCGGGCAAGCAGCTTCCCGGAGCCCGGAGGAGGGCACAACCTTGTTTTCCTTTCCTGGCGGAGGGCAGGAGAGGGGGAAACAGGTAGATGAAAATCGTTTTTTAAAAAAAAATAAATAAATAACCACCAGAGTGACAAAGCGGCTGCGATGCCCGCAGGGCAAAGCCCTCCCGGAGCGGCGCCCGGCTCGGCCCGCGCCCGAGGACATCCGGGCGCCG